TATCAGCTAAGGACTTAACCATTGCTCGACCAGGGCTTCTGGTAGTATTTGTCATCAAAACCCAAGGAGTACCAAGGGCTGAGAAGATTTCAAGAAAAGACCTTCTGTGTTGCACACTGCCCAAGATCTGGAAGAAAGGGACTGAAAAATATTCAATGAATTTAGTGACAAGGACCAGGGTCTTCTTGACGAGCAGCATTTCAGTGAGGTGAGGGGGGAAAAGATGGATTGCAGCATTTTGATGAATGGATGGAAGGTTAATGGAATGGAGATTATTAGTATAGGCATCTTTTAAAAGTTGGGCTCCCCAAAAGAGGTTCATTAAATGGTGGTGCCAGCTAGCTTACTCTATGTCCAAACATGTTTCTGGTTCCCAGATGCACATCGAACCATTTAAGGTTACCTGTAAGATATTAGGCAGTACCTTAGCGCTTCAGAAGGAGAAGACTAGAGAGGGAGTGCTTGCCTCGGAGCGTACAGCTTAGCTGTGTGCTCTGTGCTGTGGATGAGCCCGGGCCTGAGGTGTTTCCTGGGAACCTCCACCCCACCCCTCTGGTCCTTCAAGTTGCAGATCTGCATGAGCGATTGTCAAGGAAGAGCATCCATTTGAAGTGTTTGCTTTATCTGTTTTCAATGGCCCTCCCGATGACCTTTGTTCTCTATTCCCAAAAGGAAAAGAAATAGCTGTCCCACCGACTTGGGACTCAGACTGAAAGAAGCATTTTGGAGTGGTTTTCACATGACACCTCTGCCTCTCTACTGCTCACATGTGACATTAGTTCGGACCAAGAGCCCAGGTGAGGACAGATGGGGCTCTCGTCCAGGTCCCAAATAGAAGAGTCTTCATTCTAATACAGTCCTGACCAATGACATCGATGGTTCATCATGAATACCTGTGTATTTGGGTCCAATGTGGCTTGCTTCCCAGGGACACCCTCCATGATCACATGATAGCTGCTCAGAATTACATCGTCCATTAGCAGGTGCATGCCCGCTAGCTCTCCATGAGCCACTTTTCGGTCGTGGTCACTCAGCTCACACAAGCACAGCTTTAAAAAAGAAAAAAAAAGTATTTTGAGGACATCTATGCATCATTTACATATGTTTTTTTGGTGGGAAGGGGGGGCTAAGAGTAGATGTAATTATAAGCCCCACTCTCCCAACTCCTAAGAAGCCCAATCAAATCCAAGCAGTATTTATAGCCTGAAGCCCTCTCTGTGCATCAGACCGCTGGCTCTGTGTGGATGTACAGAGTTTCCCAGGCCTTGGAAGGTTGTGGACCACACAGTGGAGCTCACAGTGACCAAGCTGAAGGTCGTGGACTGAGTGGTTCTCCTGGGAGAGGACAGAGGCACATGCATTGCTTTATTCAAACCCCCAACCACACCTGCTGCCCTCAAGTTGATTTCTACTCACAGCAAACCTATAGCAATGCTGTAGGATGGAGAAGTATGGCCCCTTTGGGTTTCTAAGGCTTTCAGTTCTTTATGGGAGCAGACAGCCTCATCTCTCTCCCAAAGAGTAACTGGTGGGTTTGAACCGTTGACCTTGAGATCAGCAGTACAATGAATAGCCCACGACACCACTGGGGCTGTGGACCCATTGCCTTAGGAAGACAAGAGAGACTGGTGTGCTTGTTGCCTGACTACTGAGAGGTAGAGGTTCTCAGAAGCAAAACGAAGTGTGTGTTTTCTACAGTACCTTGCATCTGCTCTTCAAAATATACCAACTCGGGGGCATTCGAGGGCATCGTCCCCCGACCCCCACCCCACATAACAGAGATCTTGCTGCTAAGCCTGCACCCTCAACTTAATAAAATATGGTGTGGCTCTCTCTTCCACCTGTATGGGACTCTACATTCTCTTGACCAAACTCATATAAAAACAACAACAACAACAACAACAAAAACCTGTCATAGTTAGATTCCACCTCATAGCAATCTTAAAGGACAGGGGAACTATACGGAAGTCGAGCGCCTCATCTGTCTCCCAAGGAGTAGCTGATGTTTTCAAACTGCTGACTATGAAGTTAGCAACCCATTGAGCAGCCACTATGCCAGCAGGACCACATCTGGCTAAAGAGAGCCGCGACCTCTTGAGCACATCTGGCTAAAGAGAGCCGCGACCTCAACAATCCAGATCAGAAGCCAAGGCAGAAGCATTCTAATCATTTAAACAATGTCTTTGATGTTTTTCATGTTTGCTTTCAAAGGAGGAAAACATTTATTAGAAGACGGTTGAGAATTTTTGTCTTTGTGAGTGTGATTACTAGTTCCCTCAGTTCATGACCTGAAAATAACTAAAACCATGACACCACTAGCCCCTCAGACAGTCCCTCATGGCCTGTAGGTTCTTCTAGAGCGCCGGGGGCCTGGGTACTCCTCCAGATGGCAACTCCAGCATGTCCCAGAAGCCCTTGTGTTGGCTGAATGAAAGTCTCCAAGTTCTCCCATCCTAACGCGTGTGGCCGAGGCCTGGGCTTCGGTGGTGGGTTGTTGCCAGGGGCCATTGAATTGGTTCTGACTCACAGTAACCCTGTGTACAGCAGTGGACAGCTCTGCCCTGTCTCACACCATCCTCCCAACTGCTGTCATATGGAAGCCCACTCTTGTAGCCACCATGTTAACCCAGGCTGGCAGAAAGGGCAGCAGTACACATGCCATAAGCCAAAGGAGGAGCCCTGGGGACACAACGGTTAAGCACTGGCTCTTAGCTTAAAGGTTGACGACTCAAACTCACCAAGAGGCCCCTCGGGAGAAAGAGCTGGTGATCGGATGGCTGAAAGATTACAGCCAAGAAAAAGCTGTGAGGCAAATCTGCTTGGTCACACGGGGTTGCTAGGATTTGAAAATTGACAGCACACAGCAGCCACGTAAATCAAAGCAGACAAAAATGCCGTGTGGGACCCTGAGTTAAGGGTCTAGATTATATTCCAAACTGTAAGCAGAAAAGAATTAATTCAACTATGGCAGTCCATGTGAAGTTGTTGAAACCCAAAGAGAGAGTTTTATAAGCTTGTTAAAAAGTCTGCTTAAATTCTGCAGAAGTGCTTTGAGCAGTCAGATTACCCAGTAAGCAAGCAAGCCGAGCCTTATTGGTGTTTATTTACTAATCCAAATAATCTCATGGTTTTTCACCTCATCAAAGATTCAGCTTCAAGGTATGGCTGGCACCTGTCCCTCTTCCAACCCCATAGCATCTTCCTACAAAATCAAAGCCTCTTTTAAAATGTATAACCTTTGACAGGGCCGGAGTCTCCAGTAAGCAAGGTAAGCACGTGCTTACTTACTAATCTGAGTGAACAGTGTCACATGTTTTCACAACATTCATGTGAAATGCTCACCAGATTAGTAAGTATAACACTCATAAGCACAACATGCTTACCTTGCATATTGGGTAATCCACTCCTGGCTCAGAGCTTTTCCTCTTTCTGAGGGGAAAAGTGTTGATAAAAGGATTTTTCCAGAGATGAACATTTTCGTTCAGCTCATGCTACTAAAGTAGTCTTTGACAGCTTTGCCTTGCAATTTGGCAAGAAGTTTCACAATCATGTAACCCAGAAGTGACCAGCGTGTCACTACCAGAGTGGAGGTAGTTTCATGTACTACTGGCGGGGGAGAGGGGCGGTGGGGCAGGTGGGGGGGTGTTGTGTACTGGCCTAGACCTCCGTGTGGAGCAGCTCAGCAATGCTGCTGCTGTGTGGTGCCCACTGACAGCGCCCCTGGAACAACACAATGAACCACCGGTCGTGCCGCACTCTCACAATCGCTGCTCGGTTGGAGCCCGTTGTCGCAGCCACAGAGGCAAGCCTTCTCATTGCGGCCTTCCTCTTTTTCATGGCCCTCTGCTTACCAAGCACGGCGTCCTTTCCCAGGGACTGGTCTCTCCAGAGAAACACGTCCAAAGGACGCCAGCTGAAGCCTCACCATCCCCAGCTCTAAGGAGCGCTCTGGCCGTTCTTCCACGACTCGTGTGTGTTCTTCTCCGCAGTCCATGGGACTTCCAACACTCCTTCCCAGCACCGTGATCCAAACACATTGGCTCTTCTTTGGCCTTCCTTAGTCCATGTTCAACTTCCATGCCGAGGAGGTGACTGAAAATACCATGGCTTGGGTCAAGGGCACCAGAGTCCTCAAAGTAACCTCCCTGCTCTTCAACACATTCAAGAGGTCTTGTGCAGCAGATTTGCCCAATGCCAAGCATTGTTCGATCTCTTGGCTGTGTTTCTATAAGCATTGTTTGTGGATCCAAACAAGATGAGATCCTTGACAATTTCAATCTTTTCT